TTTGTTAGGGGTCCTGCACCCCAGTGACAGTTGGGGGATTACTGTAAACTATCAGTAGAATTAAAAGCAAGCTGTAACATGTCAACTAAAAGAATGCATTCATATACTTGCTTTAAGAAAAAGGGGAGCAGAACTATTGGTTTGGTGAAAGTGGAATAAGCATTTTGTTCACATATTTCTATTTTGCTCTTCCCTTATTCTTAGAACTAAAATACTTTTTTAACCTAACCCTGGTTTTCTGGTACTCACATTCTCATGTGTCAAAACCTAACCTTTAATGAAGATATAAGATCTCAGGGCACAAATGTTAATGTTGCTAAAATGGAACCTATTTTATTATTTGCTACTTTGGATTGTAGAACACTGACATGCCCTTACTCTCACAGATCTGAATGATTGGTTTGGTTATTTATAGCAAGAAGCAATCCCTCAAGTATCAAAGTATAAGGTCATTTAAGAGTTGAAAGGTAATAGCAACACCTCAAGTTGGAACTGCAAGTATTTAGCAGCAGTTCTTGCATCATGTACTTGAGATATCCATCACTCATGTTTTTGCCTTGCAGTAATGTTCATATTTTCCTTAAGAAAGATCCTTACACAGTGAAACCTATATACCCTGTTGTTAATACTAACTAGAAAAGACCCCTCAATTCAGCTAATTCAATGCAAATTCTCTAGTTCGTATTAACCAACAGGATTCTAGCCCAAATATGTCAAAATAGGCAAGAGTAGAAAACAAATACTTGTTGTACTCAGTGGGCCCATTTATAAGGTGGAAACAAAGTCCAGGGCTGGTCCAGATTCTGCCAAGTTGTTTACACCTTTTTGTCCCCTGCTGGATTGCCACCCTGTTATAGTAAGTTGTAACAGGATCAAGTATGTGTGTGTGTGTTAAAGAAAACCTAATACTGTTGATTATTATATGCAGCTGCTAATGTAGGTCAACTAGTAAGTTTGGACCACACCTGGTGGGGTATAACTGTGTGGGTTTTAGAATACAGTTCATCTTTTGCCCTGAGGAGCCTTTGCTCAGGCATTTTGCTCAACCATTTCTACTGCTCTCTCATTTGGATGAAGATGAAGAAGCTTTATTCTGTATTTGTTACAAAGTCTATGTAAATGTGTTGCACTATTTGTTTTTTGTTTGCAGCATTGCAAGTTTATGTTTTAACTCTGCTGGCAAGAGTAAAGGTTTTCTGTTATTTTTCCTTTTGCCTAGGTGCAATGTTATTGTGTCTTCTGCATTGGACCTGACTGAAGCATGCAATGTGCAACACACCCTTACCTTTGTCATTGTTTGCCAATACCTCTCCTCTTCCCTAGTTGCATGGGTGCAATGATAGCCAGAAGCTATCTGGAGATCCATGATCACTGCTGCAGAACAACAATCAATATAATATTTATAAACAATAAATATTAGTTCCATCCCTTCTCCCTATGCCATAGAAAAGCAGGTTGACAACATTCCTGAATTAGACTAGCTTAGCTATTCACACCAAAGTGTGGGCGAGTCAGTGAAACTCTGGAACATTCAACAACTTTTGCTAACAATGTTTAATGGGTTTCTAAGGTCATTCAGTTGATTTTCGTGGTCAAGTAGGGATTTCAAACTTGGTCGCCCAATGTCCTCATCCAGTATTTAAACCGCTACACCATACTGGCTCCTGGCACCATATACTACACCAGCCCTCCAAGACTTGGCAGTTGTAAAGGGCCAATATTTTGGGGGCAGGGATGGAAAGGCAGGGATGGAAAGGGCTGACTAGTGAAGGGAAAATCCAGTCCTGTCTGCAGGCTGCAGGGAAGCCCTTTGCAGATTGCATCCAGCCTGTGAGTCGTACGTTAAGCAGGCATATACTACACCATGCTATTTATCCTTTTAGTAATGTAAGCTTTTCTTTTTTCTAAGTTATTGTATGGAAGACTTATCTTGACTAGTTCATTTCTTTTTTAAATGTGTCTCATGGCTTTCAGGTTGTGGAAAATGTGCTTAAAGTGAATCCTCTCTCAGGCCCTGAAATGTTTCAACCTCTTTTGCCATCTGTGTTTCGTGGAATTATAAGTGGGGAGGTAAGGGTTTCTTAATTTACATGTCTTATTGCTGTGGCTGTGGCTAAATCCAGTTGTTGGTCCAATTGCAGTATAAGTTCGTATAAATGATAAAGGTTAACTTGCAAAAAGTTCGCTTTGATTTAGTGGCTCTATTCTCATTGAGACTAACAGTTGGATTAAGTGCTATCTATTTGAAATAAACACTTGATGAATACAATACAGATCCACCAGATTGACTCATTAGCCATATCCCATGGTTTTTTTTTTAAAAAAAATACTGTTAATATTGGGTATAACATTTTGAATCCATTAAATAGATAATCATATTTAAGTGTTTGAAACAGTTAAGATATATATAAAATCATACTTTAATTAAGACTAATGTTGGAGGTAGGTACCCGTTAGTTAATAATGGAAAGTATTAAAAATAACATATTTTAACAATTCAGTTGTTTTTCACACATTTGTGTCACTTCACTTGTACTGTTACATAAACTCTTTGCAATGAAAAGTGTTACCACTGAGAATAGCAACAATTGACATGTTGTGGGTTTAACAGGAAAAAGAAGCCTTGATATATTAGATTGCGGGTGAGGGACCTAGCAATTTTGAATACTAAGTCCTTTAAATCCCACCAAAGGAGGAAGCAAGAGAGTAAACCCACTCAGGCTGTAACTCATGTTAATTTGCAATCAATACATGATGAAAACTACACCCTTTATACAGATGGATTTCCATGAGATATGTATGACTTATTCTGCAATCTTCCAGTTCATGGTGCCATTACATGCAGTCGGGGGAGTGACATGAGCTCTTTATGCAACTTCTTGTCACTTCAATGTGCTTACAATCTTGCAAAATTTCCTTAGAAGATATTGAGCAGATACTTAAAGTTTCAGGAATTGTTATTCACTTCAACTGACCATAATCCAAACTGTACGTTATAAAAAAAGTGCCATGGGAAGATCTCTTTTCTCTCTAGTTTACAAAAGGTAATGTACAAATTTCTTAACATTGGGAATATTATCAAGAACTCAGCTATAGGCAAAACTCACTAGGCACCATTCTTGAAAAAAATGTCCGATAAGCATGAATTGAAATCAAATTTTTTCAACAAGAAAGTGGTGCCTCTGTGACATTTTTGAAATAGAACTCTCCAGGTCTTCAAATTCTTGGGGAAACTCAAAAGCTTCCCTACCCATTTAATGACATTGAATGAGTCCTAACAATATTACCTATTAATTTTGAATTATTTTTAATGGACCACTATAGATATCTGTGATTAATTTCATTTTAATTTCATGAACTTAAATAAATATGCATATTGGGCCTGTGTTAGATAGTTGGATAAAATATAGCCATGTCAATGTTCAGTATTTATATATTCTTCCATGTGTGATAGCAGGGATTAGCCTACTCCATAGGATGGAGATACCTGGCTACTTTATCTCATAAGACATACTTTGAACTTCAGCAATACAATTTTTCTGCTTATATTGCTTCATTTAAAATTGTAACTCAATTTGTGCTTCAAAAAGCAGATATTCTAACTACGATAACCCAAGTATTGCAATTGACATCAGTGTGTCTTGTGGAGTGTTATGGAATTACAGCATGTTTTTTTTTTTTATATTATGCTTATATTTTCTGGTTGATTAGAAACCTAATACTGATTGCTTTCATTTCAGAGGTACCCAGTTGTAATGTCTACTTACCTGGGAGTCATTGGTAGAATCCTGTTGCAAAATAAAACCTTTTTCTCATTACTTATGAACCAAATGGCATGTGAGTTTGGCCAGAAGGTAAGTCATCATATTTTAGGAAGTGCAGTCATATACAAGACATTAATTTAATTACACATTTCCTGAACACATATCTTTTTGTTCTCACTCCTACCATTTTCAGGTGGGGAAAGACTTTGCTTCTCTTACAGTTATGTGAAATAATGTGTTCGCTCATTAGCTCAATCATATATCTTCTGGTTTGAAAATCAAAGTTATCTAAACCATGTAGGTGGGGAATGTTAAACTTTTTTTTTGCTAATTCCTTTCAGTCTATCGATATGCTAAATAAATATTGCACTGCTTAGTGGTACCAAGTTTACCATTGGTAGTGCTTGAAGGCTGGATAAACATGCAATTCATGGCTTTTCAGTTTTGTTTTATTTGTCAGTTGGAATCCAGAGGCATAGATGGGGGAGACATTCAACTGGAAATAAAGAGCATACAGTTTTAAAGGTCTCCATAATGTTTTACAATGTGTTATACTTATTTAATGTAAATGACAAATATTCTGTAAAAGCAAGTACTTTCTGTGTTCTGTGCTCTCTACCTTGTTAATTTTTCTGTGTTCTGTCCTGGGAAATCAGCCCCTTGCAGGAAAAGATATCCTTAAAGACAAGTGCTCAGAGTTGCTTAGCAATTTGATTTTTAGCCCAAAGAAACAGCAGTAGATTTTGCAAAGTTTTTTTTTTTCATAAAGTCTACAATGATGCATTGGCCTTTGTTACAGACCTGAACTCATTCTATAGAGAGATACAGAATTTGAATTTAGAATGAGAAAGTTTATTGCCATGACACATGCTTTCCCTCATTATGCATTTGTCAGTTTGCATTTATATCAATGTGTTTATAATTTCTACTCTAAAAGTTTGAATGTACAGTATATTTTTGAACCCAAGTTAGTGGATTGTTCCAGAAAAAAGAAGAACATCCACTTGAAAAGTTTGAGTTTTTAGTTTCTGTCCACAAATAGCCAGTTTGAATGTCGTGTTTCTCATGAAAGAAGTTTTCACTCATATTTTTCTCTTTCAGCCGGATCAACTTCTTGGTCACATGATTGAAATGTGGGTTGATCGCATGGATAATATAACTCAGCCTGAGAGAAGAAAACTTTCAGCTTTGGCATTGCTTTCTCTTCTACCATCAGAAAATATGTGAGTAGCAAGATTTATTAAATAGTAAAGGAAGACATTTTTATTGGACTTCCACTTCCATGGAGAAATGGCCCCCTCTCATGGAAAATACCCAGGTTTCAAGGGTCTAACACTAATGTGTGAATACTTTAAGCTTCATCGTCCTTCAGAATACTGACAAATTGTCTTAGCCAACAACAAATTTCAATCACTATATAATAAATTATGTTGGAAGCCAGGATAAATTTGGGCTGTTTTGACTTCTATTTCAGTCAGGTGGCTATCTCAGCATAACTATGTAGTTGTACAAGTGATTATAATAGGATTGAGATTTGCTTGCCTTCTTGTAGATTTTACCATTAGAGGAGTTGGATTCAGATATTGCACTCTGTGAACATACAAGATCTTTTCAAGTATAGAAGATGTTTGATACTGTAGAGCAGTGGGTCTCAACCTTTGGATCCCAGGTGTTTTGGCCTACAACTCCTAGAAATCCCAGTCAGTTTACCAACTGTTAGGATTTCTGGGAGTTGAAAGCCAAAACAACTGGGGACCCACAGGTTGAACTACTGCTGTTGAGTGATCATGTTGGTGGGAGTAATAATAATAATAATAATAAACCTTTATTTATACCCCGCTAACATCTCCCGAAGGACTCGGTGCGGCTTACAAAAGGCCAAGGCCAAATACATCAGCAAAACAACAACATAACAAATACAACAATAAATAAACTCATAAAACAATAAATAGCGATGTGTACCTCTCCTGGTGTTTATTACTCTGCCCTTTCCTGATCTCCTAGAGTTTATGGTTTTACCCCCGGATCCAATAGAGCTGTTGGCAACAAATCTTGGTTGATATTCAAGGATGTCTGGAAGAAAGAATAGACACAGAAAGGGTTACTGATTTTGACTGAGGTGTTGTCTCACTTGATCAGTACTTTCCAGGAATTTCTTTTCACACTCTGATTCTGACAGTATATCCTTCCAGGGATTCTCTAGTAATATTGAAAAGGTATATGGCCACAAGCTCCCACCTTACTGGGAAGAAATATGTGGTTCTGTTCTCTAGCTGTTTTGTTAGCTCTGAATGCAGAGACTCCTGACAAGAGAGAAGACAGTGACCTTTCTAAGAAGGACATTGCACAACCTTCTTCCCATGGTGTCCATGAATATTTTGTCACCCTGTTAGCTGAAGCCTGCACTCTTTATTTAAGGGAACAATAGGCCAAGACAGAGTTTCATCTAGCTCCCCTTCCTTTTAATAGGGAAAATTAAGCCTTCTTTCAAGCCCTGTTAAAAAAAAACCCAACTATGTCATTCCCTAGATTACTTGAGGAGATCCCAAGACCAAGCAAATTCACAAACTGATCAACATGGTATGCTTCATATTAAGTCAGTTTATGGGGTGTCTCAAAATCCTAGTAGTTGAACCTAGAAGTAGTAGCAGCAGACTCCACACTTAAAGTGCTTAATATTGATCTGAATAAGATAAATATCTTAGTGGTAATTCTATAAAACTCTTATGGAAGGACCCCCTTTCTCTTCCAGTTTGGCGTGAGAGATTAGAACATCTCCCGGGAAAGTCTTTATGTTGCCTGGCATTTTCTGTTTCCACTTCATTCTTTCCCATGGGAGTTTTCATTTTTATTTTGTTTTGTTTACATATTCTCCAGTAGTTCAAAACTGTTGCTGTTTGTATCCCACTTCTATATCTGATTTAGAGGCAAAGTGGTAAAACCATCTAGTATCTTGTCTTCCTTCTCTGTAGTGTATTAGAATCTGTTTCTTTTATTACTACGTGCTACCATTGTTTGCAAATCTGCAGCAATTTGTTATGGTTGGGCATATTTCCACTGTTGCTACTTAGGACTCTTAGTTGTAACAAAGTGTTTGTGCTTCAGACAAATGTAGACAAAACTGCTACTTCAGTTTCAGTTATTCCTCATTCATGATATTTTAGCTACAGTTTTGATTAATAGGCTTAATACTTATAAATATTGAAGACAATAGAATAATAATTTCCTTTCTAGTCATCAATTTTAACCAGTTTCAGACATGATATGCTTCATAGCTATTATACTTAGATTTGCTGATATATAGATTCATTTTTATTATGTCCAATAATTTCAGAGAAGAAATTAACTGTACCTGCATATTGGGATATACATCTATCCTACTGAGTTTTAGAGGAGTAAAATGCAGAGATTTCCCTTCTAGCAATACTTCAGAGCTGCAGATAAAATGACTTCCTGTCTCTCAGTTTCCTGTATCCATGGTAACTTTATTTTAACCAGTTATTGTGGAGGAGCCAATGGGAAGAGTAGCATTTCCTGTGGGAACGGTTACAGAACTTGTGACAAAGTGTGAGAAGCTAGAATGTTGTCTAGCGAAGTCCTAAAATAAATCCTAATATATAAATGAATTAGCCATTCAGGTAAGATACAAAAATGATTATTATTTTTTCAAAATAAGCATTACATTCTGAGTGAGATTTATTTTAATATATTTTAAACTTGGAACACTAAAAGTGACATTTGAAGTTTAAAGTTACCAGTGGCAGGAAGTTGGCATTTTAGTTAGAAGAAAATAGTACTTTTCTTTTAATTTAAGTAGAGTTAAACATTGTAAAAGGTGTTAAATAGCTTTTGTTTTGAAAGTTGTTGATTTGACACTACTTTTTAAACTATTGAAATAATTTTAAATCACCTTTAATTTCACCATTGATCATTTTACATGTTTAATAAGTTAGATATTAAATATAAAGTAAGCATTTTATAAAATGAAGGCGCAGTTGTAGTATAGAAGTCAGTAAAGTATTAATGGCATTTAAATAATGCATGTTTATAGAAGAATGATACAGAATTTTAAATAAGAATTCTGAAACTTTTTTTCCTGATAGCACAATCGAAGATGACTGGGAGAGTTAAAGCCTTGGATATGTGTCAGCTTCACCACCTTAGGTCAACCCAACATATTCTTAAATGCCTGCTTCTGTTGCTGATCCAGAAGGATATACTGTGCTGTCCCTCTGTTTGCCAGCATTGTAAAGGCAGACAAGCCGACTGCCGTTATTCAGGCCTTTCATCTATTCCAAGCAATTTCCCACAAAATACTGTATTTTTATATTTGAGTGGGAATAATATATCACGCATATGTCCAAATGAACCAATAGGCCTGCATGAAGTTGCTGTGCTACACTTGGATAATTCTGGCATTTTATATGTGTGCCCAAAGGCATTTGCTGAGTGTAAGAAATTGTGGTTCCTACATTTGAATAATAATCAGATAAAACACTTGGATCTTGGAACATTTGAAGGACTTTCAAATCTTCATTCTTTGCACCTGCATAATAATGAAATTGCTTTTTTTCCTAAAGGATTATTTAAGGATCTCACTTCAGTTCAGTATCTCATGCTTCAAAGCAATCGTCTTCGCATTCTTGGTAGTGACGCTTTTTTAGGAATGATTAGTCTTCGGATTCTTAACCTAGACAACAATAAGATTTCACAAATATCACACGCAGCATTTCATCACCTCAACAACCTGACATGTTTGTTCCTAGGGAGTAACAGTTTAACACATGTGCCATTGAGTGCATTTTTAGCACTGAGAAATCTTGAAAGACTTTCATTGTCATTTAACCCTATTGAAGCCATACTTCCCTTTGCATTTAAAGGACTTGCCAAGCTTGAATTTCTTTCCTTAAAAAGTGCAAACATAAAAACTATTCATGCAAATGGTTTTTCTGGGCTAAAGAATCTTAAAAAGTTAATCTTGAGCAATAATAATTTAGAAAATATAAATTCCAAAACTTTTGCATCTTTGGACAATGTAATGTTTCTGCAGCTTGACAGAAACAAAATAATCAGTATTGCAGATGATACATTTGAAAAAATGGGATCTTCCTTGAAAATACTGAATCTAGCATTCAATAATCTGACGTCCTTACAGGCTGAAGTGCTTAAGCCTTTGGTATCTTTAACTCACTTACAGGCAAATTCCAATCCATGGAATTGTAGCTGCAGATTACTTGGGCTAATTAAATGGTTAGCATCTTCTTCCAGCTCTCCAAAACTTCATTGTCAACATCCTTCCAATTTGCATGGAAGACATGTGAGTTATGCCAAATGGAGCTTGTTTACAACCTGTTTCAGCACTACCCCAAAGACTGAAATATTCAACAACATTGAGATGGCAGGAATTCATCATAGTACCACTTCAGTATTTATGGCGTGGCATAAAAATCTGGCAAGCAAGAAAGCTTATGAACATTTAGGTGTGGACACAAATACAGTGACTTTATGGGCAGAGTTGCCTACCACATCTGCTAGTCAGAAGCTTTATGAAGAGATTTCCAATGATACACAGGAACAGACTGCTTCAGTGTTTAAAGCACAGATAGCAACGCAGAAGATACCAGTTAGTTTGACTGTGGAAGAAGACAATGTATTCCCTCTAGAAGCTGTTTCTATATCCATTAAAACATCTCTAATATGTGCACAAGAAGTAGAAAAACTGAATCACTCTTTTGACATTTTGTTAACTTTTTTTGTTTTGGCCTGTGCTATGATTATCTTTTTGATGTACAAAATCATTCAATTTAGACAGAAGCTCAAAGCACAAAAGAACTCTGACAGTGGAATAGAATACTATAGCTTTTATCAAGGGGGTAGCTACACCATAACTAATTCAATCCAGCATGTCCCCTCCAATTCACTGGGAAGTCCAGATCTGGACTATGCTCAGCTTTCTAAACCAACAGCACTTGAAAGTCAAGCACAGGTCATCTTATTTGAACATTCAGCATTATAATGTTCTGTGTTACAATAAATAGCAGGCCTGGAGACTGTATAAAAGTCAAGATAACAACTGCTTGTAATATTTTATAGATGTTTGTGGGTGGGTTTCTTAATTAGTATTTTTCTTCAAATATTGACATTGTTTTGGCTGTTTAAATAGCTGTACTTTTGTATGCATCTTATGTTTGTTTTATATATAATGCTTACATTATATTTCCCCTCACTATGAGAAAGCATTCATTGATAAATCCAACTTTGCATGAATGGGTGTTCAGTGCTTTGCCTATACCATATATTAAATTCTTTCCTATAAAGATTGTAGCCCTTTCAAATACTTATTTGGATGAAATGATTTGTAGAAACAATGTAAGACAAGTGGCAAATGACTAGTTATACTATTAATGGCAGCGCTATAAAACTTAATTTCTTAACTAGGAGGCATTTGTAAGTTGGATGTTTGTAACTCGGGGACTGCCTGTATTTAGAAACAATTCAGATGAAAAACTATACAAAATTTCAGTAAAAGTATAAATGTAAAAGTTATTTTAAAACAATGTATAAAGGTAAAACATTTACTATGATAAACATTACAATTATTTTAAAGAGTATTACAAACCATAAAACAACATGGTGCATCATTAAAAGCCCATCCCATTCAGATCCCTCAAAGCCTGGTACCACAAGAATGTTTTCAATTATTGGTAGAAGTACTCCATCAGTCCAAAAAAAAAAGGCGTTCCAAAATCTGGAAACAGTCAGTGAGAAGGCCCTTTCCTATATTTCCAACAAATGAACCTGAGATGGTGATGGAACAGAGAACAGGACCTCTCTAGAAGATTTTAGAACTGCCATGGGCTCATAGGAGTTCATATACCACATCCCCACCATAAATAAATAAACCAATAAATAAATATGTATTGGTTTATTTATTTATGGTGGGGATGTGGTATATGTTATTGTTATTGGCTGCCCGTCTGCTACAAAGCGCAATTCAAAGTGCTGGCTTTAGCCTATAAATCCCTAAATGGTTTTGGTCCAGCTCACCTGTCTGAGTGTATCTCCCTTTATGAACCAGTTCAAGTGCTAAGATCGGCCAAGGAGGTCCTGCTTTCGGTCCTGCCGCCTTAAGGGGTGCGATTGGTGGAGATGAGAGACAGGGTTCTTAGTGGTGGCCCCTTGGCCATGGGACTCCATTCCCAGCAAGATTAGATCAGTCCCCTCTCTCCTGGTGTCAGAAAAACTTAAAACCTGGCTATGCAAGCAGGCGTTCAGCGAGTGATAGTATTACTGAAGCAGCTAAATGATAACCATGGGAATTGTGTAATTTTTTTTTATGTTTTATGTTCATGTTATGATTTTTCTTTGTATAGTTTTTAATGGTTTTCATTCATATTTATATGTTATTGATTTAGTTATGTTATGTATTGCTTTTATATGTATGTATGGCATGGAATTCTTGCCATTTTGTCATGTTGTGCACCACTCTGAATCCCCCCAGAGGTGAGAAGAACGGTATAGAAATGCAATAAATAAATAATAAATTGTTATACATTCTGGCTTGTATCCTTACTTCCATTGATAGTATATATTTTCATTCACAAAATTGAGTTTTTATTATTAATCCCACCGTATCTTCATAATTGCTCTGGGAATGGAGAACCCTTGGAACAGCACTAGTAGACCATTGGTCTAGTACTAATATAGAAGAATAGCACTCGACCATTGCTGCTCTGATTGCTCAACCAGTGCCAGACGGTGACTAACCTTTCCTCACATGCATTCTTTATCTCTTGTTTTCAAAATAAAATTACTCATTATTCCCCAGAACATGCAGTGTGCTGAGAGTCAATAAAATGCTACTTTGTTGACTATATCATTTTCTTCTTGAATTGTATTTCAGTATTTCTGTGAAATCTATTAACATAAAGAGCTGTAAGAAATATGAAAAGTCACTTTCATGCGGTTCTGTCTTGGGCAGAGAATTGGGTTGAATGATTAGCTCCATCACATTGTTTGAGTTTTCTACATTCGACATCTTACTTGAGCTACAATATGTAGAAATTATGGTATAGTGTCAAATATGAGTTTCATGGTAAAGGGAGAAGTTAATATCATCACTAATTTTAAATGAAGTTACTCCAATTTCATGCATATAATTGAATACTTATCCTTGAAACCTTGTCATTGTTATCATGGGACTTCAAGTTGTTTCTGATTTGTAGCAAACCTGAGGCGAACCTATCACAGGGTTTGCTTTTTTTTTTTTTTTTGCATTATTTGTTTAGAAGAGATTTGCCTCTTCCTTCCTCTGAGGCTGAGAGAGTGTAGGGAATCAAACCCTGGTTTTCAGAGTTGTACTCCATCAGTCCAATACATCAGACTGATTTTTGAAATGTAGAGTAATTGAAAGCAGAATGGCTGGATTGGATCCCAGGCATATAATTCCCATTGATAAATCCTTGCATCTATTCTACATACTTTTCTTTTTCATTTGTTTTAAGAATGATTCCATGAATAGATGGATGATGCTCATTGTTGAAAGGGGGGGGTTAATTCCGTCTGACCCACATTTTCCATTGTATAATCAGTAATATCAAACTGACCGTATCAAGCAGCAGACAAACAGATTTTGCAATATCTTAATTCTCACATGGATTGTAGCACAGCATTCACTATGCATTTTCCCTTTCTGGTTGCTATTACGTTATAAAACTATATAACATAGGGTGAGTCAAGTTTCAGAAGATGGTTTGTTCATAGTAATTTTTGAATACAGTATATTCTGGCGCATAAGACTACTTTTTAACCCAAGAAAATCTTCTCAAAAGTCAGGGGTCGTCTTATATGCAGGTGTAGTCTTATGCATGGGAGTCATCTTAACTCTATATTTTAACTGGAAAAGTTGGGGGTCGTCTTATACGCCCAGTCGTCTTATATGCCGGAATATACGGTACTTGCTGTCAGTATGCTTGATGGGCTTCTTAAATGTTTGCATGACCTGGGATGTATAGGTACCATGTATACTCAAGTATAAGCCAACCCAAATATAAGTTGAGACACCTAATTTTACCACAAAAAATTGGGAAAACTTACTGACTCAAGAATAAACCGAGGATGGGAAATACAGCAGCTTCTTCAATATAAGTGGGCTTACATATCCTTTCAATAATCACCATAGTTTATTTTAACTATACATTTTGGGGGAAATGCTGTCTGTATATGAATAAGGAAAAGTGGGTAAGACTCGCCGAGCGAGGAGGAGAGGAAGATGTGCGCTGCATCAAGAGAGGAGGAGAGGAAGGAGATCTAGGTTGCTATGCGGAAAGGTGAGGGTCCTGGCAGGAAGATGTGAGGCTGAACGAAGCCGTTCTTTCAGCCCCACGCCTTCCTGCCAGGCTCATCACCGAGTATAAGCCAGGGGGGACTTTTTCAGCCTAAAAAGGGCCATAAAACTAGGCTTATATTCGGGTATATACAGTATATAAAATAAGTGTAAATCGGCATTTGCAAAGGTGGTTAAATAGGCTGATTGTCTTTCACATTGTTGCTAACAGATTTGTCTAAGTGACATTCAGAAACATTTGACTGTTGCCAATTTTTTGTGACCCCAACATTGAGCTAAGGAGACTTTCTTTGGGATCAGGAACCACAGTTTAAGAAGTAGTGGTTTAAGTAATGTGAGTAAGGCTCTGGGGTTGGGTCAGTAAAAGCACTTAGGTAATTTTCCTGTTTACCTGGTTGATCGAAATCATTTCCTGTTCTTTTTCAGCATCATCCAAGATAAATTTTGTGGCATTATAAACATTTCAGTAGAAGGGTTGCATGATGTCATGACTGAAGACACAGAAACTAGAACATTTAAAGAGTAAGTCACAAACTTGATTCATGTGTGATTACTAGTTTGGCGAAATTGCCAGATCGATTGTCTCGGCACAACATTACTTAATTTTGCCCCGAAAGGCAATTGGTATGTTTTCATATTCTTCTGTACTTGCAACTATACCATAGCATGAGCAAACATGGCAGTTTCATCACACTATGAGTAAGGAATTTAATGTGTTTTTTTCTGTTGAGGTCTTATGCAAATGAAGTTAGCAAAAAATATTCTGAAGGTAAATTTAAAAGGAAACAAGCAAACATTTTTGCACTAAGGATAGCTCCAAAAATTACAGTTAAAACATTATCCAAAGTATGCAAATGATGCAAAACTGCATTTGTAATACAGTAGCTTAGTTCTCTCAGTACAGTATAGGAGCCGCGGTAGCGCAGTGGGTTAAACCTTTGTGTCGGCTGAACCTTGAGACCTGAAGGTCAGCGTTTCGAATCCGTGAAACGAGGTGAGCTCCCGTCTGTCAGCTCCAGCTTCCCATGCAGGGACATGAGAGAAGCCACCCACAGGATGGTAATACATCCAAGGCATTCCCTGAGCAACGTTTCTGCAGATGGCCAATTCTCTCACACCAGAAGTGACTTGCAGTTTCTCAAGTCGTTTCTGACACAATAAATCTCAAGTCCCTTCTGACAGGATAGTACAGGATGAAACAAACATTGTATTAATAATTTCACTATCTTAGTCTTTTGGCTCTAATAGTTAACAATCAATCCAGTTAATTGTATTTTATATTTTTAGCTGCATGCTGCTATCTACTTTTGAAGAGCCCAAGTTAACAGAAGAGGAAGAACCCCCCACAGAACAAGACAAAAGAAAAAAGTTGGTATGTGTCCTCTCTAAATGTGTCAAAAGTCGCCATGTATGAAACTTGTAAACCAACTTTTTGTTGCTCAGTTATTGCTATCTTGTGTCTTCAGTTTGAACATGAATAAGCAAACAGGCAAATTATAAAACAGACAGAATTGCAGCAGACTGATTTGACAAGTTTTAATTCCAGATAAAATGAGATCCATATTCAGCCAAAGAAGTATAATGTGCTGTATTATTATAAAAGTTGTTAGAAAATAAGCGCAAGGAAGTAACAACCACCCAAAATTTGAAATGTGCCTTCAAGATTCAAGAAATGGCCTGATATCTTATGCTGACATTCTACAATCAGCCAATCACATTTAAGTATTTTAAGTACTTATTTAGCAAATAAGTATTTTTATGTTTGAATTTTCTACTGCTGAAGTTTAAACCATAAGGTATTGTGATTTTCAAGGCTTGAGGTGAATTTTCTAAATATCACAAGATGAGAAATGTTGATAAAGTCAGGATACAGCAGTCATGGGCAATCTTCGGCCCTCCAGGTGTTTTGGACTTCAACTTCCACAATTCCAAAAAGCCTACTGACTGTTAGGAATTGTGGGAGTTGAAGTCCAAAACACTTGGAGGGCTGAAGTTTGCCCATGCCTGGGAGAGAGTTTGTCATGGTGCCACTTTTCATTCACTGCTTCAAAACTTTATGCAGTAGAGTTCAGTTGCATCATTAGGCAATACAACTTTACAGTATATTGATTTCCTTCTAAAATCTATTCTTCTGTCACTTGGTACTTTTCTCAAGTGTTCCGTTTCTATCCAGTTGTTTTGTCTTAATATTATAGTCCTATCTACTGCTTGAACCCTCAATCTCTGTCTAATTCGGGCATGAGCAAACTTTGTCCCTCTAGGTGTTTTAGACTTCAGCTCCCACAATTCCTAACAGCTGGTAGGCCAAAGTTTGCCCATGCCTGGTCTAATTGGTGTTGTGTATAAAATATAGTATTATTGAAAACACCTTTTCTTTATTGTCAATTCACTGCATGAAGCAATTGATTAAAATATGAAGAGCATTTTAGGAACTCATATTTAATAATCCCATGATTTAATTATATATATATATATATAGAGAGAGAGAGAGAGAGAGTTACTGTTAATTCTGTAATTATCCTGTGAGT